AAGAAGAAGAAGAAGAAGAAGAAACCACTCCTTAAATATCTCACTTTGGGGTCACTATAACTCGGTTCTGACTTGACCTAACAAGGAGCAAGTCTCTAGAAGTCCACTTCCAGTTTTTTTGGGGGAAAAAGAGAGTATTTCGGGATGGTGAGTGATCTAAGCAGGGGCCAAATTTAAAAGGTAAAGTGACCCCTATTGGAGATTCCTGGGAACTGCAGTTCATCGGGGTGTTTTTTAAAAAGAAAAGTGCAATACACTATTCTCTGTGATTTACGAAGATAAAAGCACAGCGATGACTCAAATTCAAGCAAGCACACAGAGAACAGCCATGAACTCAAAGAGGTGTAAATTGCAGCTAAACACAGAACACGAGGCATATTGAGAGGAATCCTTGAGTTTATGGTTAGTGCTGGGAGATGACATTGGGAGAAGAAACTTAGCATTAACATTAGCAATGAAGATGCCTTTTCAAACACGCACTCCCATATCTATACCTCATGTGTATTTGATGTTAGACACCTTGTAATTGTGTGCAAAATCTACACACATGGGCTACAATACAATAACCCAGGACCCATCATGACCGTAGTCTGTGCCATGTGATCGCGCTGTAAGGTTCCCTCTTTCCAGGACAATTCAGTAGAATATTAAGATACCCACGGGGAAGAAGAGATGGCATGTTAGATGAGAAACCTGTGGGAGGAGGGAGGTGAGGCCAAGATGGGCCGGAGGTTGGAAATTGAGAGCTCTCTCTCAATTGTAACCACTGATGGAAGTTCTGTAGGCTTGGGATAGCCTGATCAGATTTTCCAGGAGAGGAAAATATATCCGAAGAAGAGAAGTGCCATTTGAGAAGATGGGGGGAGGAGCCCTAAGCTACCTCCCTATCCCGAAAGTTTGGCATTCTCTTTGGCAGGACTCTGTACAGGTCTGAAAAATTGACACAGTCCAGAGAACGGATACGCAATGATACATACATAGGCATCCTTCAGTCTAGAGAGACTATGGTAACATGCTCTGTATCGAGAAGTGTCCTCTCCAGAGCATGAAGCCTGGGTAAAGTAATATGGAGGATAGGCTGTTACCCAAGCAGCAGATCCCCCCTCTCCATGTTGCTGAAATGGTCCAACGGAAAGGCAAGAGCCAACACAACTGGTTCCAGCAGAACGGCACAAACTGCTTTCAGGACTCCAGCTCCGGATTTCGCCTCTAGGTTAACTTGGTTAAGGTCTACTTTAAATCATTTTTTTAATCGCTTAAATCCTTGTTCTTTAATCACAGTTACTTTCCTTTTGGAGCTCTCAGCTATGTGATGCCACCATTACGTTTTCTCACGTGGTGAACCACCCTTTGGGGCTCTCAGCTATGTGATGCCACCATTACGTTTTCTCGCGTGGTGAACCACCCAGAGCAACCACCGGTCAGGTATAAGTAGTATAAAAATGGAATGAATGAATGAATGAATGAAGGCTGTCCTAGAGAGGAGGGGCAGGATGCAATGATATCCCAGATGTACAGGCCCCACTGTAAGGAAATTTATTTTTTATGAATACATCTGAGCTGAACACTTGGAAATTCATTGTGATATAGGAAGGTAGGTGGGTTAATCATTTTTTTAATCGCTTAAATCCTTGTTCTTTAATCGCAGTTACTTTCCTTTGGGGCTCTCAGCTATGTGATGCCACCATTACGTTTTCTCGCGTGGTGAACCACCCAGAGCAACCACCGGTCAGGTATAAGTAGTATAAAAATGGAATGAATGAATGAATGAATGAAGGCTGTCCTAGAGAGGAGGGGCAGGATGCAATGATATCCCAGATGTACAGGCCCCACTGTAAGGAAATTTATTTTTTATGAATACATCTGAGCTGAACACTTGGAAATTCATTGTGATATAGGAAGGTAGGTGGGACTACCTTCATATATCACAATGAATTCCCCACTCTTTGGCTGATATGGTGGTGACTCCTGGATGCCTCTTAATCTGGTGGTTTAGCTGTGAACGTTCCACCTTCGCTGGTGCTACCAGGAGTCCAGGATGATCATGGAGTTTAGCCTCCTGATGGCATTGCTCTTGGCATCTCTAACATTCCCAAACCACCCTCGCCATGTTAAACCGTGCCTTCAAGAAGTGGGAACCCCAAGATACTCTTAATAAGTCACAATTAGAGTAAGCCCATCATAGGCAATGAAACTTATGGTGAAGTTCTCGCTAAAGAGAACCGAATCCCCAACTTCTGGTTCCACCACCAGACGCCTAAAACCCTGAGCTATCCAGCAGTTTATGATCCATGATGACATTAAGCAAGAGGGTTTGGGCCATCCGTTCAATAGAGAGCATGTTAGCTGAAATCAACCATTCATTTAGCATCTTGTGATCTTTTAATTCTGTAATGTATCATTTTTTTTTACACTTGTATCTGTGGGTTGGTTTGCTTTTAAATCTATTTTCCAGGACCTGAGGTCCTGCTGTTTGGTGGGGATGAGAGAAATAAATAAAGAAAAATCTCCCTGTCATTTATTTCCTAAGCATCAGCCTTGGTTTTCTCTGACTCCGCTGCCACGGGCACCAAGGAGGCAGCCTGGAAAAGCTGAAGGATGTGCGGTTTGGGCCTCATCAGGGTGGTGCACCCGAACCGGCTGATGCCCTCCCGGAACACGGGGGGGGGGGGGGGGCTTTGTCTATTTGCAGACAGCTGCCACGGGCACCAAGGAGGCAGCCTGGAAAAGCTGAAGGATGTGCGGTTTGGGCCTCATCAGGGTGGTGCACCCAAACCGGCTGATGCCCTCCCGGAACACGGGCACCTCCATGGCGCTCCGGTGCCAGCGAGGCTCTCCGGGTCCCCAGTGGTAAATGGTTTTGTAGTGCTGGGTTAGGTCTTCCCCACCCAGGAGGTAGATGCGTTTGCCGCAGCGGACCACGCCGGCATTGGCGATCCCCCGGGGCAGCTTCGGGATGCTGATGCTGCGGTTCACTTTGCCCGACCCGCTGATGAAGAAACACCGACGCGTGCTATAACGGTTCTCGGGTACCAGAGTCCCATCCGCGCTGTCCTTCCTCTTCTTTTCTGCATATCCCCCAATCACATAAATCCCACAGTCCATCGCCACGGCTCCAGCAGCAAAGAGCCCCACCGACAGAGGTAGCTGGGTCCAAACATCCGAGCGAGGCTCGTAGATGAGAATTCCTCGGTGGAATAACCAGTGACTGGAGATGCCCGTTGCGCCCCCGAGAAGGTAGAGCCTATCTTGGAATACGCTTGACGCCGGGTGGCTCAGAGGGAAAGGGAGCTTAGCGATGGTAGCCCACATCCCCGTGGCCAGATCCAAGCTCTCGGCTAGGTTGAGGAAAATCTGGAATTTGCGCCAGCCGCCGACCACGTACAGCCTCTGGTCGTGGAACAGGAAGGCGTGCGCGGCCCGGGTCGTGGCCATGGAGGGCAGCTGCGTCCACCGGTTCGTGAAGGAGCTGAACTCATAGACGGCGGTGGAGTAGGAATTCTTGTAGATGCCTCCAGAAATGTAGATCCTGTCCCCAGCGGAAGTACAGCAAGCATGCGTCAAGGACTCCAGCCCAGGAAGTTTCTCCCACATCTCGGTCTGTGGGTCATAGCAGCTCATGCAGCAGTGTTCCATCTCCTGATGTTCACACATCTGGGAGTCAATGCACAGGATGGAGGGCTTGTACATGCCTTCCCGGAGCCCCTGGCTTTGACGCAACCTCTCCTCCCCATCCAGAAGCTTCCATTCAAGCTTAAGATCCTTCCACCGCTCCAGGTCCTTCTGGAGTTCCCCCTGCTCTTGTGGGCTCAGCAAAGGGAGGCGGACATGAAGCATCAACTCGGGCAGCAGGGCATGGCGCTTGGCGGGCTGCTTTTGCACCCAGCGCTGCACCGCCTGGTAGACTTTGTACTCCGAAGCCACCATGAGCTCGCTGGAGGAGATCAGGGCGGTGAGGCTGCTGAGGTCGAGTTGAAGGAAATCGTCCCCTTCAACGACTCTGTCAAAATTCTGGGTGATGAGCTGTAAAACACCCCGGAGCAGAGTCTGGTTCTTATGCACTTGGGACAAAGAATACATCTCAAACCAGTTCTGCATTGAGAGGGCAGTCACAAGAAACCTGGAGAGAGAGGGGGGAAAGAGAATACAGAGATACAGGAATCATTCTCAGCTAGTGATCCACACACCACCAATTCTGGACACTGCACTTGAAGAAGGATGCCAACAAACTGGAGCGGGTTCAGAGGAGGGCAACCAGGAGGATCAGGGGTCTGGAAAGATATGGTGGCTTACCTACAGCATATGTTCTGTAGAGGAATGATCTGCAGCTGGCTGGCTCCTGCAAAGAGGAGTGGGGCCGCCTCCGAAGTAAGGGCTACGTCCTCTGTGTAGATGTATTTCAGAATGCTTTGGACCACTGATGGGGCCACGTCCTGAAGCACAACTTCTTTGTCCTTGCATTCTTTCCACGTAGTGGTGAAGACGTCCCGGAAGTAGGGGCTGATGGCTGCCAGCAGTGCCCTGCGAGGCAAGAAATGATAGGTTCTTGGACAGCAACCTGGAATGAAGAACCTCTAGTAGCTTTGGTTGAATGAAAACCCAAAAGAACCCGAAAATGTAGGGTGCAACATTCCCAAAACTCTCCAGAGATGTGAGTCTATGAGAAAGCATCCGGAAGAGGAACCATGAAGACACAGGTGTCATGTGGTTTTGGAAGCTAAGCAAGCTTGGGCATGGTTAGTCCCTGGATGGGAGACCTCCAGAGAAAATCAGGGGCTGCACTGAGGAGAGTTATAGCTCCATGGATGGAGCATGGACCCGACTTGGATCCCCAGCATCTCCAGATACAGGCCTAGGAAAGAATTCAATTCTTCAAAACACCTCCGCTTTATGAATGTAGGATATTGTGCTGCTCTGTCCATGGTTCAAAACTCCAGGAAACGACCCAGTATTGCTCCACAATATCATGCCCATGTTGACAGCAAGAAAAAGGATTCCAAGCTTTACATAGCAAAGGGCAGCTTGAATGTTGACAACACCAATGGCAGCAGTCAAGATGGTCTGCAGGATCCCCTCTTGTGCTCACTAACATTCACAAAGTGACACCAAGCAGGGAAAGATCCCAGAACCCGACTCTTTTTTAAAAATCAGTTAACCACTTCTCTCCAAAACACAGACCAATTGTCAAGAAGGAGAAGGAGCCGATTGCTGCGGTCGTACTAAATTAAATGCTGATCTGAAGCCCAGTTTCAAAGTTATCATTTTTGGTTTGGGCTGCTCCCATTTTTAGAACTGCCTTTTGGAATGTTGAGTTGCTCTGCTGCACAATAACCAGTTGTAGCTCTCATGTATCTATAATGTTGTCTGAACCCCTAAAGTGGTGCTTTGGAGTTGGCTATACTGGGCTAGATGGTCTTATACCTACTCAGAGTAGGCATAAGTGGCTTCTTTCTATTTTCGGTGTCTCCAGCCAGGTAGAGATAACCCTTTTGAAAACCTTGGACAGCTTGCTGGTAGACAGCGTGGACTGAACTAGGATAAACAAGTCTGATGCAGTGTAAGACAACTTTTTGTGTTCCTCCCCTGCTTCTATGGAGAAGCAGCGCCAGGAG